CCCTCAAAACACTTTGTACATACTAGGTAGTGGGCATAAACTCGCCATTCTGTCAAGACTGCCTCGGCTTCAACCAAGTCATTGCTTTGGCCGCATCCTGGCTCCCTTCCACAGCGAGTCGATGTTCCATTACTTTCTTGTCCTTCAGAGGTTAAGAAGCCACAAGTCTCTGGGTATTGTGGAAGAAAGGGCTAAATAAAGATTTTGCAAATGTACACGGAGGTGTGCCTTCAGCGATGAAGAGCCACTTCCAGGCAATAACAGGAGCAACTTCCTATCTTATGGATTTTCGCTCGAAGTGAATTCTGAATTCTGAGTGCACTAGCAGCATCATTTGGCTTATAGAGGACAGGCCCACGAGGTAGGCAAACCAGGAACAAGTCAAAGACTGGATATTGAGAGAACGGCTATAGCTCCAACACTTAACTTGCGTCTGCGGTAATTAGAACACAGCTTGAATGGCAATTTTCAATGGTTTCATAGACCAGCTCGTGATTCAGATACTACACGGCATCCCAGAGGAATATTCATTAGCAAGTTGGATTTCATTCATTCCTTCTGCAGATTCAACCATCACCCGTGGACCCCTCCCCCGAAAAGAGGCTTGAAAGAGGGTACGGCAGGGAGTTGAGATGCTGACCTTGAGTATCCCCGTCACGTGGTAAGTGAATAGCTCAAATATGTACAAGACTAAGAAATCTGTGACTATTTCTTGCGTCATGTAGAGCAGGCGAGAATGTAGGCTGTGCTGATATGCTATTCTGATTCTATAATTCAGACCATCGCCCTAACCCCATTCCATTACATCAAGAATACAACGTACTGCAACTTCGAATACGCTAAGCAGGGGTCTGGCGCTATCTGGTGCCAAAGTACCTTTTATTTTGTTCCTCGAGTCAGCCTTGGGAAAGAGTTGTCTTATCTTTGCCAACCAGATCAGATGGTGCCTGAAAAGCAACTCAGATATCCGCCCAAGGCAGCTTATACTTTATCGTTTGCTTCATTGCGCGAAAGCGAAGCAAATCAGATAACCAAACCAACAAACCTTGGGAACACAGCCTCGCCGGCTACTGCAGCTTCCCTGTTAAGCGCCTTTGATTAGGAACATCGCTGCCTACATTGCACAGGTGGCTATGCTTCTAGCTGTGGCGTCACAGGAAGATGCCCTGGAATTGGATCCCGCTAGCAATATAAAACAAGAGATTGCTCCAACTCAAGAGCACATTCAACGCTTATCCGACAAACCATCTACCAATCATTGACCAGAATCATATTTATCTCTTTTATATCCACTCGATGTCGTGCCCAACCAGTTGCACCCCCTTGAAACGTGTTCTAGATGACCGTGTCATCCCCATAGATGGAAGGATACCTTGCCTGGGAAAGACACTCAAAGGCCAATACTGCAGCGCTCCGATATCCCGCGATAGACAAAGGAAAGCTTTATGTTTACTTGAGTGCTGCATCTATTGCTCCCGACCAGGTGGTCTACCATTGAAGTACGCGATCAAAGATCTCGCACTCTTGCTCGTCCATCAACAGCACAGTGGGGAACAGGATGCTGTCTATGCTAGATGGAGGAACATGGTGAAGTCATTCAAGTATAAGAGGGAGAACCCCGTGCAGAAAAACCACCGAGAACATCGCCAAAGACTTGATCGCCCCCAAGAACATCATTTTGATATTCTCGGCGAGCCTGACGCTCCGGAGACAATCACAAATCTGAGGCACACGCATATCGTCGAGTGCAGCGAACCGGCTCAAACAAGTAATTTGGCCTATAAAGCGCCAACAGAAATCCAGCAGCGTCGGATCGTCGAGGGTGATGAACTTGCTAAACCCACGGTGCTTCATCCCACTCTGCCCAACCCAAAACGCCCTACAGGAAGTCGCAAGTCCGTCTCTGTTCAAACCGAGGCCGACGAGGTATACACACCAATCACCTTGTGGTCATGCTTCTTCGGTTTGATCCTACAATGTACGATGATGATTTACGGCCTTTTCAAGATTCAATTTGATCCAACTCATTTTTGCGACCGGGCAGGGAATATGAAAAAGGCTTCGATGGTCCGGTTGAAGTTCGAATTGGGCATTCGGTGGTCACTGACGGATTTTAAGCTAAGATGGATGTTTTTTACGGTGATTTCCTTTCTTCCATTATCTATTTTGCTTGGACCATGGCTTGGGTTATTGTGTGTATGTTGGATTGGGGTGCAATTGCAGGAAAGTCCTATAGGGACGGATTTTGATGTCTATCGTATTTAAATAGGGACTGTTCCAATGTTAGATTGCGTTACTAATTTAGTAAATATGTTGAGCGAAGAACTGTTGATCTCAGAATTGTTGATCTCCTATCATTGCCGTATTTAACCCACCGATGCCAGCCGCCCCGGTGGATAGTATGTGCTATAAGCGACAGGTCATTGGTGGGAGAGAATGTGGATATCTAGCCCTGGAGAAATGACGCAAGCTGGGAATGAATGAGTTGCCCGTGTTAGCGCGGGAAACGAGATCATCATTGAATTAAGAAAGTAATTCCGGACTGAAGTGAATATAGTATATGTTTATACTTATATGTGTGGTCTTATATGAAGAAGTGGAATATACCGAAAAAGGAAATCCTACGGACAAATAGGAGTCGAGTCAATTCCAATCCGGGAAACATCAACATGTTGGGATGACTCAACGGAGAACGGAGTATTCAACCGTCTCCATATCACATGAAGAAATCGAAATGACCAATTTTAACAAATTTAACTTCTTCCCCTGTTGGATCTTACTCCAATAAGCAGACTGCATTTATTCTCCACACGATTGTCCCGGTGAATCACTCCGGGGGCCCTGCCCCTCTCCTGTCATCTTGTTATACTCCGGTATTCTCCTCTCCTCTTCTCTCCTCACCCCATCACCATGTCGCTACCAATTCGATCATTGTCCCGAACATTGGTACGGTCCTACGGCACTGTCCAGGGCTCCCCCCAGTGCTGCTTCGTTGAGCAGCATCCCCATCACCCTAACCGATGCTACGGGTGCTACCGCTCCCCGAACCACCTGGACTCGGGATGAAGTCAAGCAGATCTATGAGACCCCATTGAGTCAACTCACGTACGCGGCAGTAAGTCAAATTCACCACATGGCCTAATGTCGACCTTCAGCTGAACTGACCCCGCTCTAGGCTGCTGTTCACCGCCGCTTTCATGATCCCTCGGCTATCCAGATGTGCACTCTGATGAACATCAAGACCGGTGGATGTAGTGAAGATTGTTCGTACTGTGCCCAGTCATCCAAGCACAACACAGGCCTCAAGGCCACCAAGATGAGCCCTGTCGACGAGGTCCTCACTAAAGCTCGCAATGCCAAGGCCAATGGCAGCACTCGGTTCTGTATGGGCGCGGCTTGGCGCGACATGCGTGGCCGCAAGACCAGTCTCAAGAACGTGAAGCAGATGATCACTGGAATCCGCGAGATGAACATGGAGGTCTGCGTAACCCTCGGCATGATCGACGAACACCAGGCCAAGGAGCTGAAGGAGGCCGGCCTCACCGCATACAACCACAACCTGGATACCTCGCGTGAATTCTACCCTACCATCATCACCACTCGTTCGTACGACGAGCGCCTGAAGACGCTCTCACACGTGCGTGATGCCGGCATCAATGTCTGCTCTGGTGGTATCCTCGGTCTGGGTGAGAGTGACGCCGACCGCATTGGTCTCCTGCACACAGTTTCAAGCCTGCCCGCCCATCCCGAATCCTTCCCCGTCAATGCCCTCGTTCCCATCCCCGGTACTCCTCTCGGTGACCGCAAGATGATCCCCTTCGATCGCTTGCTCCGCACTGTCGCTACCGCCCGTATAGTCATGCCCAGTACCATCGTCCGCTTGGCCGCCGGTCGCATCGCGCTCTCCGAAGAGCAGCAGGTTGCCTGTTTCCAAGCAGGCGCCAACGCTGTCTTCACCGGCGAGAAGATGCTCACCACGGACTGCAATGGCTGGGATGAGGATCGCGCCATGTTCGATCGCTGGGGATACTTCCCCATGAAGAGCTTTGAGAAGCCTGCGCTCAAGGCTGATGCCACTGCTCCTACCCCGCCTCCTGTGAGCCCCGAGGCTACTTCTGCGCCGGTCGCAGCGAACGCCTAGACTTATAGTTAGATCTGTGGCCTCTATATGACTGCGTCAATAGTTTGGATCGAGATGATCCTGCAAAATGCAATTTTCAATGATACAGCCCAATGAGAGTTACAACTGAGGTAAATACCTAGGTGTCAATGGAGCCATAGCGATAGTGTATCAGGTCAACAGCCACAGACACTAAAACAGGAGAACGAGCCTCTGCACACATAGTCCATCGACTTCAGGAACACTGAACAGGTAAAGAGCCGTCTATTTTATCTGCCGACGTTCATTATACGATCAACCACTAGTCGATCCTTTTTTTCCCGGGATTTCCCCAGCCTCGTGCCCGCGTTACATCGCAGATCCATGACTTCACGCCTAAAAGCCTTAGTAGAGGACCTAACAATGATAAAAAAAAGGTGCAGAGCCAATCGAAATTCATTGGAGCTCCACTATTTGCTGTCAAATGCTGCAATACCGAGGCTCAAGCCGAGCGCACGGTGTCGACTTAACATCTTGGCCCACGTCTTTCTCGCCCATTTGGCAAAGATCAATCTTCACACATCAGATCGCAAAGGTTCCCCTTTTAGTTTCAATGATGAACCCCACAAACTCCATTTTTAATGTCCAGGCGAGGTTTAGTCACCCCTACCAACGCCCAATTTTGCGGAGTATTCACATGCAAACGTCGATCCTCGCCAAATTAGCATAGTCTCTACCATCTTCTGCCCATTCGACGTATAGGTTCTGTTGGGGTAAACTGATCCATATAGGGAAGTTGACACATCGCTATTCACATGGTCTCCTTTACCGACGCCGTCATGGGAATGATATAAACAGAATTGCCGCCGCTATAGGTGGCCGCAGAATCCAAGCATCCATCATGGCTTCTAAACCGCTATCCAAAGATTCTATGCAATCAACATGGCGCACAGGTCCTCGCAGCGAATGGAACATCAGTCATTACCTGCTTGACGCGCTCAACGCCCACCCCATCGACCTGAGACAAGGAGGTACCAGTGCACAGCAAAGATGAGAAAGTGCCATACATGCCTCAGTGGTATCTTCAACGCTGGGTTATCTTCTACTCAGCCATTCCCCTTCTCCTCCACGAGACCTACATGGCATTCACCGGCCGCACCATGGGCCCAATCACCGCGTTCAACTTCTACTTCTTCGTCTTCAACGCGACAGTGATCTACCAAGTGCACATCCTTCGGCGTCTAGGCCACAAATATGGATTCCTTGACGGCGACAAGCATGCACGCGATGGCGTCCCTGACGTCGGCGTCGCCAAAGTAGTAACCTCACTATACAAGACAACAGGATCTCGAATGATCCTCTCAATCTTCCTCTCTTACAACCAATCCCAGAGACCCTCCCAGATGTCGTGGATGTGGCTACCTCTCGAAATAGGACTATACGGCATTGTCCTCGACTTCTGGTTCTACTGGTACCACCGACTGATGCACGATGTGAGCTATCTATGGAAATATCACCGGACCCACCACCTGACCAAACACCCGAACCCCCCTGCTCGCCGCGTACGCGGATCACGAGCAGGAATTCTTCGATATGGTTGGCGTGCCGGTGATGACGTACTTCAGTTTGAAACTGTTTGGTTTGCCGATGGGATTCTACGAGTGGTGGATTTGTCATGAATACGTTGCGTTTGCAGAAGTGTTTGGCCACAGTGGACTGCGGATACATTCGGGTGTGCCATCCACGATGGGTTGGTTGCTGCAGATGTTCGATGCGGAGATTGTTATCGAGGACCATGATCTGCATCACCGGAAGGGTTGGCGGAAGAGTCATAACTATGGCAAGCAGACGAGGCTGTGGGATCGGATTTTTGGGACTTGTACGGAGCGTATTGAATCTGTGAAGGGGAATATTGATTATGAGAATACAGCCGAGATGCCTTTGTTCTAGGGGTGGGGTGGTTGTTGTTTGAATGGGGAATTGGAATGGAATGGTGCTAGCGTGGTGATATTGAGTATCTTGTATATAGCTCGCTTGATCTTATGAATTATGGTTATGATTTGAAACGTAAGGAAATGAGAGAATCGAGAGAAATCAGGCAATCAGAAAGATTGTTAAACCCATCCCCTGTATTTCCGTTTCTGCTTTCTGCTCTCCCTCCTCATCACCTCATGTATCTCTCATCCAGATAATCCCCTTAAGATCTCCTCTTCCTGCTCTTAACTCCCAGAAACCCCCCGAGTAGCCAATGGCCATTTGCTCGGATGGAGCATCCCACAACTCACGGAAACCCTTTACTCTGAGGTGTCATGGGCTTTTAGCGAAGATATCAAGGCATCCATGGAGAGAGTTTATACTCACGATATGGCGGCCACAGAGATGGCTCTCGACATCACTTGCCAGTGTGGTCTCCTCCCAGACATCATGGCTCACTACACCATTTTGCAGAGCCACTTCCTTACTTCCAGTTTGACCAAGCTTGTCTTTTTCCCTCATCCACTTTTTCTTATTGAGGTTGTAGGTGCTCACTGAACATAAAAATGGGGTGATTATCTCTCACTCCTTTGTGAATTTCATTTCATTGTAAGATCTCTTCATTTTCCCTTTCTGCTTTGGCACTGGCTGTCTTTCTTTGGTAATCTGCATCGCCGCACTTCAACTTAAGATTGAATAAAATTCTTCTATTCATCAATAGGTCAGGCCCTCTGATGATATCCACAACTCCAAAATGATACCTGTTGGTGGTACGCTAACTCCACAGGCGAGACAAAGCTCGCATAGTCGAATATGAGGTCCGGATCGAAGGGCTCCCACTACCCAGAATCACTCGACCTACAATTGATTCTCGACTTCGGTTCATGATGCGGGGACCTCCACGGACTATCGATAGTATGATCCTGTGTTTGATGAAGGAAATTTCTTTTCTTTTTATCTCTACTGAGATTAAACTGTGCGATAGCGGAACCCATGTTTTTCCTTTTCCTTTTTATTTTTATATATGTAGATTTAAAGCTTGATATCCACGGAGTATCTATTCTTGTCGAACTTGGGCCGTATTCGGCAAGAATATCAAAGTCTGTAAATCTTCCGTGTAAATAGTGGATGCATTTTGCTTGCAACTTGGTCGTTGTCCAATAACTCTAACACTATGCTCTGTATCGCGTGAGCCGTTGTACTCTATTGGCAAGTATTTTCCGAAGCTGATTGTTATTCTCAAATATATATTGTAGCTATGCTCCAGGGCTGAATGTGCGATAGCTTCTTAGCCCCACCAGTTCCATTCTAGACCTAAATACTCGGGGCAACAAAGTGGGACTTGTCCACAGTAACAGTCGAAGTATGCAGTAAATACATACGTAGCTATGTATTTCATTGGGGTGGGAATAGACATGAGTGTTTTGGGAAATAGTTGGCGAAAGGTTGGCGGGTTGGCGGGTTGGGTAAAAGAGACTTCAGTGCTATATTCGTATGGAATACGATGTAAACAGCTCCACCTCTGTTTCTCGAAGCTGGCTATACCCACTGCAGCGAATGATACCGCCCCCCTGGAAGCAAGCATGTCTTCGGCTCATGCAGTGGATCTGGCATAACCGATGTGATCCACCCCACCGGCTCGGCATTAGTATGTCTCGGAAAACCCGAATTCGAGGGCTGGGAACAAGAAGATCGATTAGCGCGACTATTTACGTACTCATGTATGTACTAGGCTTAGCGAGTTCAATAGTTCACACAAGGATTTGAGTATATGTACATATTCGTGACGGCATGTGCTAATCTAAAAAAAGTATGGTTCTAGAACAACCCTAATATACATTGACTCCCCTCTAACTCCCCGATGAGAGATTCCTCATATGATCTTGCACAGGCTGCCTAGTATCTGAGATGACCGAAATCTCCACCTGCTTCGTGATACCGGGAGCAGAGAAAGTAGGAGAATCAGGCGCGCCTCCTATAGACGTACTAGTATGTGCGCTCTGATTATGATCCAGAATGTGATCGACGCTATTATTATTCTCCACGTCAGACTTGAACCTGCGCGTGCGGCGCGAACGATTCGTCTCGTTTGGGGCAGTAGCTGACTTGCGTCCACTGAAGGGCATGCCGAGTTCGTACGAGCGGGTGTATTTTGCGCTGGAGAGCTTTCGCACGGAGGAGATGACCAATGGGCGGATACAGGGGATCGAGGAAGTGATGATGATGATGACATTTTCGATGTATCCCCAGCGGATCAGTTCGATGCCGCCGCCCGCTCCGGTATTCGTGATGCTGGGTACGGAGTCGAGTTTGGTTGTCTTGATGATGGATGCGACCATTGCACTGTGCCATTGGGTTAGTATGTTGTGGCTATGCAATTTGGGGTAGAGGTACTTACACTATACCCAAACTGAGGAGAACGATCAAACTGAGCTTGATTCGTAGTTTCAGATTCAAGTTCCAGAACACGACTGTTGGGAAGACGGCCAAAAACAGATCGGTGGCTGAGTTGAATGTATTGGAGTAGTAGGCGAATTTGATGACTGCATCCGAGTCGCCGCAGGTTGTCGTACTTGCTACTATTGGATCCCATAGCGCAGCTACATCACGACAGATGCTAAGTGGCAGCACGGCCGAGGCAATGTTCCCGGCGAATTGTATCACCAAAACAGTCCAAAGTGCGGCCTGGTAGTACCTGTTGGTTCCGAGGAGGGGGAGGATATAGAGAATGAACGCGGAGCGGGCGATGGTGGTGCTGATGGTGACGATCGGCACTTGGATTGCGATGTACTTCAAGACGTCTTTCTTGTCATTTGGTGGTATTGTGTCGAGATTCTTGCCGAATCCATGCTTAACTGACAAGGTCAAGAAGACTGTTGATACGATTGCCAGAATCTAGAGAACATTCAAGTTAGTCTATGAGGCAACCCACAAACTAGCCAGAAAGATCTACCTCAGCGAAAATCATCAGGCCATCATCGACGCCAAACCGACTAATCTTGACTTTGCCGAATACTCGTAAAATGACGATCACGGCAGCAATGGCCACCGCGGCCCAAAGCCCCTTCTCTAAGGCTGGGCCAAGATCACTTTCTGACATTGTGTGGATATAAACGGGCTAACTTGACAGCATTGTCAAATTGTCAAACAGGCGATCCCTGATATAAATGGGTTCGCAGTTGGAATATTTCGACGGGGTGCAAGTCCGGAAGAAGACAGAGTTTCGCAAAACCCAACGGATGGTCCCAGTCATAAAACCTGGATTGGGCAATGGTCAACCTGGTTCAGCTGATTCATGGCGGGCAATAGCCGGCAATGCGCCCCGAAAGCCCACAGGTGGAAGATTTATCGGTGGTTGGGCCATGGATTGGTTAATCTACAACCTTGGATGGAGCAAAGTTCACATTTATTTCGCAACGATCTTTTCCTTTTTAGTCAATTAAAACCTTCCAACCATGGTTTCATGATTACAAGACTTCCAAGGTTCCAAAGCCAATTTTGTGTATTCCAAAGTTTGCGGCAGAACCATTCCAATTCACTTGCAGCTGCCTACTAGTGGGGCAAGGCTGATTTTACAGAGAATATTAGAATCGGTTCATAACCTGTCCACATTATGCTAAATACAACGTAAATGAACTGTCCGGATCAATCATCAGCTATAAAATATACCCCTGAGCTCGGAAATTGTTCAATGCAAGCGTCAAGCCACCAAAGCATACAATATTAAAGGCGCACTGACTACTCCGTACTCCGGACATGGATCTCAGCCTTGGGCTCTGTGAGGTGGGGATTAGTGGAGCAGAAATAGAAACACTGATTGGGTGTATTTCATCTGGGTTACACTGAAAAACTGGGTCAGATCTATCCGGAGCTCCGGAGCCTCCGGGCTGTGAGATTGTTGGCAAGAAGAAAATTGAATATTCAAAGTTCTGCACATGTCGAATGATGAATATTATATCCATGCGATCTAATCCCTGTACACAATGACCGAATAGATCGCGCATGAACATTAAACTATGCTTGTACTCCGTACGGAGTACATAGTATATTATTGTAGTACTTTGTACTCCCGTACCTGCATTTAATTTACTGTTTCGGTTCCACCTCGGTGAAATCCTCTATCCACAAACAATTGATCAGACTAGACGCACTAGGGAACATGTCCGAATGGTTGAAATTGGAGATTCATGTTCAATTTGAGGAATGCGAAGTTCATATACATAAATAAAAGAGAGGTGATCGACACCTCTGCCTCCATTCTTCCACAACCTTATCCCTTCCATCTCCTCCACCATGAAGTGGACATTGGTTTCCCTCGTGGCTCTTGCCGCCCCGGCCATTGCATCGGATTGCCACTGTTTGCCAAGCGATAGCTGTTGGCCTGCTCCATCGGCTTGGGCCTCCCTCAACAGCACTGTTGGTGGCCGTCTGGTTGCGACCGTGCCAATTGGTAGCCCCTGTCATGAACCCAATTACGATGCTGCCGCTTGTGCGGCGCTCAAGGCCAACTGGAACATGCCTCAGCCCCAGTAAGTGGTGCTACTCTGGGGAAATTGATATCTCTAATCGCCGCCAGTTTTGATTCCTCTTCGTCGGTGATGCAGACGTACTTTGCCAACCAGAGTTGTGACCCGTTCACCCCCAAGTCCCAGCCCTGCCGCCTCGGTAACTACGTGAACTACGCCGTGAATGTCTCTTCTAGCGACCAGGTCGTTGCTGCTGTCAATTTTGCCCGTGATAACAACATCCGCTTCGTTATCCGTAACACCGGCCATGAGTAAGTGGGCTCAGTGGGCTTTCTTCAGATCAATGCTGATATGACGTAGTTACCTTGGTCGTTCAACTGGTGCCGGTGCCCTCTCTGTATGGACTCACCACTTGAATGATATCGAGTACAAGGACTGGTCTAGCCCGACCTACCAAGGCCCTGCATTTAAGATCGCTGCGGGTGTGGTTGGCTACCAGATCCTCGAGGCCGCATCTGCCAAGGGCCTCGTCGTCGTCACTGGCGAATGCCCCACCGTTGGTCTCGCTGGTGGCTACACCCAAGGCGGTGGTCACTCCGCCCTCAGCACCAAATTCGGTCTTGGAGCCGATAACACCCTGGAGTTCGAAGTTGTTACCGCTGCTGGCAAGCTGGTCAAGGCCTCGCGCTCCGAAAACCCCGATCTCTTCTGGGCACTGAGCGGTGGTGGTGGCGGCAACTACGGCGTTGTCGTGTCTATGGTTGTTAAGGCATACAAAGACGCGCCTATTGCCGGTGCCTCTCTTCAGTTCACCGCGGCTAACATCACCACTGATACCTTCTACGAGGCTGTTTCGCGGTTCCACTCTCTGTTGCCCGCCATGGTCGACCAGGGTGTCACCGTCATCTACCAGATGACCTCGAGTGTCTTCATCATCAACCCAATCACAGCCTACAACCAGACCACAGATGACGTCAAAGCCATCCTCAGACCATTCACATCTGCGCTTACCAAGCTTAACATCAAGTACAAAGCCAGTGTTAGCCAGCACAAGTCGTACTATGACCACTACAACAAGTACATGGGCCCCCTTCCTGGGGTAACCTAGCCGTGGGCTCTTACCAGTACGGCGGACGTCTGATTCCCCGCAAGACCCTGGAGCAGAACTCCAACGGGATGGCCTCAGCGCTTCGCAACATTACCCAGGCGGGTGTGATCGCCGTCGGAGTCGGCATGAACGTCTCAGCCCCGGTCAACGTCTCGAACGCAGTGTTCCCAGCCCTGCGCAACGCGGCAGTGACGATGCAAATTGGCACACCGTGGAACGAGACCGCGCCCTGGTCCCAGATGCTTGCAGACCAGCACAAGATGACGACCGAATACGTGCCTCAACTGGAGGCCGTCACACCAGACAGCGGCTGTTACCAGAATGAGGCTAATTTCCGCCAGCCGAACTGGAAGCAGACCTTCTTCGGAATCAACTATCCCCGTCTGCTCGCTGTCAAGCGTAAGTGGGATCCTTCGTCGTTCTTCTATGCCCTCAAGGCTGTTGGCAGTGATGTCTGGTCTGTGTCTGAGTCGGGGCGGATGTGCCGTGCTTAAGCTCCCTCAAGCTTGAGCCTGTGACAGATTTTATTTCATAGATAGCGATGCACTCTTCCTGGTTTAGATATTAATGATAGACATATCTCTATATTGATTAGATCATGGGCATGTCGTAGCAGAGGAAGACTTCTCGATGTAATTTTCAAATCCAAGTCTCCGAAATCTCTCAACTTTCTGGAGACGTAGGCCGCCGACATCCAACTCTACTTATCAGCTTACGCTTGACTTATCTTTCGGATCTTCCAAGGTTGTTCAGACCGAAGACAGGCACGGACTTCTCACTTGCACATCTATTGGAACATATTGGGGGTGCAAATATCACTGATCTATGCCTTCTTTTTGTCCGAATCTATAATGGATGTTTAGGTGGTATATCGTCATCAAAAATAATGATATGCTGAAAATATGGCTCAATGCTGAATCTATATGCAGAAATCTATATAACCAAACCAAATGATATCGCCCAACAGCAAAGTGTACGTCATAACATTTTATATACAAACAACAGACTTAAACCTCGGCATTGCTAGCGCAAGAGAAGCTGTTGTTAGAGGCGTTGTCATGAATAGCCTTGCCGGAAACATAAAGGCCAAGACCACACATACAACCACCGATCAGAATAATGCACACGTTCACAATAGTGAGTACAATCTTCCGAGGAGAAGAGAACCACCTGCCCTTGTTGATGTGCAACCAGTACACACCACCAAGACCGTAACTGAACCAACTAGCAAACAGCGAGCTAATCAGACTCAGCAAATCACTGAAGACGGGAATGGCATCGGCAATAATCCAGGCAATAACCCAGCAAGTAAGAGCAATTCCAATCCAGGAGCCAATAGCAACCCAGTCACGCTTGTGCATGCGGTCAGTGCCGCGGAACATGCGGACATAGATATACTTAAGACCGATGTGGCCGTTGACGACACCAGCACCGATAATCTGTAAGAATGTCAGCAACCGAATATAGGAAAGAATGGGAGGGGACAACGTACAGTTGGGATGGCGATTCCGTAAGCAACCTTCTTCAGAATGGGACCGGCAGATCCAAGAGCGGGAGATGTGACCTCCTGACCGACGTAGTAGTAGATCACTACGGCAGCAATGGTGTAGAAGACGATTTCAAAGGTCTGCAGCATGACCAGAGCTTTGGGGAAATCCTTAGGTTCCTCCATCTCAGCGAGAAGACCGAAGAAAGCCACGTGGGCGCAGTAGGCAAAGACGATGTTGGTGACAGCGCCGAAGGCCTGGACGAGATCGGTGTTGACAGTAGCCCGGAGGTTCTGACCACCCTGGTTTTGCACACCGACTGCGACCATAGTGATGATGACAGCAGTTACGATACTGGCGAAAGCTATATATGGCAATTAGCGAAGATTCTTCCGAGTCCAGGCGGAGTTCGGGTTGTACATACACATGCACGAGATATAGGTCATGTTCTTCATAGTACGGGGCAGAGAGCAGACGAAACAGATGACGAATCCGACAGCGGTGAAAACCATCGTGCAAGTTCCGTGTTCGGTAACGGTGTTCATCATGACACTGAAAGTCAAGATGTGAGAACCCATAATGAAAATCGAGAAGAGCAGCTGGCCGAGGCCGAACAGCTCGCGTCCAAAAGCACCGAACAAGACCTCGCCAGCGTCGGCCAAGTTCTGGATGTGGGGGTATCGGGCGCGGAATTGGTGGATCGTGTATCCAGTATAGGTAGCGAGAATTCCCAGTCCGATAATGAGGATGATAGCTGGGGCAAGGCCGATCTGGGCAAGGGTCTTGGGGAGGGACAAGACACCCAAAGAGACGGATTCGGCAATCATGACTAGATAACGGTCAGACGTTGTTCATAACAACCGATCAACAGATCAACTGTTTCGATTATGCGCGTCTGCTAGAACTTACACATTCCCGTTTGCCTATCACAGAATTAGCCCGTGTTCTTCAACGTTGGTACTTCATTGCATGAACTTACCACCACTTCATAGTTTTATACTTAACCTCGGCACCCTCCTCATTTCCAAAGGCATCCTGATACTGTGGACTCTGATCCTCCAACATCTTCTTCTCATTATATCCCGACTCCGAGTCAGTCGGGTCCTGGTAGGGTGTCACTCCATCGCGAACCATGATGTCGACGCGTATAGACCGACAGGGGAGGAGTGAAAGCGGGAATAGAGAAAGGAAGAAGGAAGAGCAGAACCGAGCTCCTTGTATGTGTGGAAAGAAAAAATTCTCTAATTAAGAGGTGGAGCTTTCCTCAACGTCAACCGAGACCCCCGGCTTGACTTGTATGGAGAGTTGGGGCGCATAATTCTGGGGCCCGGATCTTTAGGAAGGTATGTATCAGAGCTTATCTGTGGCGAGTGAATTTCGATTGCCTATTCACATTATGTTTTGAATAATATTGCGGCTCAGACAAAAAAAAAAAGAAAAGCTTTGATGCCAAGTTGAGATCATCCATAGGAATTAAGCGTCTGGTGGGTCTACTTCCGCGCAGGAAGTGGGGCACCGTGACCCATTTTCTTACCAATTGGCCAATCAAAGCCTCGGCTCGGAATTCTATTATCTAACAAGAATTGCCGGACTCGCGTGGCTGGCCGAGGATAGCCGCTTATTCCGATGGGAGGCCAATCCCGAGTTGAATGGCTTCATGCTGTTACTCAATGCCAAGATGCATACTCGTTTATAAGTTGCCTATGCAAATTATTTCAGTCATCGTGAATATGTGTTCTGTACCTGAGAGATGGCAAACCAGTGAGGCTTCTGTGGCCAAAAGAATTCCAGGTACAAAGAGCAACTGGTGGACCCTGGAAGCTCTTTCGCCACCCAAAAAAAGAAAATTTTAGTCAAGCCTTGCCTATTTATGGGTCGGTTATTTTGTCAAGCCGCCTATCCGAAGGTTAATACAGCGCCATTAGGGTAGATAATACTCACCGAGCTGGTGTTCGGTAGCTCGGGTCTGATGTTCCTGAAAAGTCCCTTTAACCCCAATCAAGGCAACCATGATGTCTATTATAAATAATTATCCAATACCTTCCTAGTTGGGACATCCCATTGCATATAATGCAAAACAGAGACATTGGAGTATCTACATCTCTCCACATTATGGCCTCTGCGTCTCCAAACTTCCCCCGGACAACCCCGGGTTGCAAGCAATTGAAACGTAAGGCAAACTTGAAATGCGCAAATGATTCTTCTCCACACTCAGCCAATCCTCAACAACATTCCACCTCCCCCAGTCCTCGTGGAGTCCGTCATGTAATATAGTTAACGGCAGTGTTGGTCTCACCACACTTCTCCAACAGCTCCTCCTTTGTATGGAGTATGCCACCAAATATGGCAATTGATGGACCAAGGGCCGGAATCATCCGTGAACCGCAATGACCAAGTTCCCATTCACGAGCAGGATAGCCGTACCCGTTTCGGCGGGGTAGCAAGGGTTGTTACAATCCCGAGGATACTACTTCTCTGCCTAGGGAGACAGTGTCATCGCCCGTCAAGGTGGATCGGGTATAGGGCTAACAAACGTAAGGTAAGCCCATACACTATTCTATGTGGAACGTCAAGGAAGTCACTGCAATTGACCCATCCGTGGTGACTACGATATCGCACATTGTGGACTTCCAGGAGGCCTTGGTGAGATTCGGGCAGCCGTAGTGTGGAATGACTTCCAGTGAAGCGTTCTTAGCGATGCAGGCTTGGTCTGCTGGTGATAATATCAAAGAAAAAGAATTATTGCGGCCGAGAATGATCGGCTGACCTAGCACACGTACCGACGGAACAGAAATGAGAGACTGCCTCGGGCGTTAGCTAGTTCCAGGTAGACTAATGCTAATGCCGAAGGGCATGGAAGGTAGGGACTTGATATTAACTTTATGGGGAGAAAACGCCCAGAAAACGGTAGTAAACAAAGGTAGAATGCATTGAGGCCCTATGTTGTTAATCTTGCCTGACTACAAGGACATAGGAGAGCAGAATATAGGCTTGCCCATAGCAAGTAACACCAACAATTTGGGTCTTGTATAATTGTATGGGAACAGAATATACGACAGTCATATTATGGGTGTTTGTAAAGAATTTGAAGTGTGTATCAAAAAATTCATTCATCAAACAAGACGATGCGCTTAAATATTCAATTGTCACGTTGATATATAGGTATTCTCATCTATAACTTACCTACACTAATGCTGATCGGAGGAGACGCTCCATCTCTCGGAGCGACTCAGGTTTGGAAGTGACACTAGACATCAGGTAAAGCACGTTGCCGAGGACGCGCGAGTGGACGTTGAACTGATCACCGCCAACAGCCAGCTTCTGCTGCAGTCCCTTTGCCGCATTGGAGTTGTAGCCTGCGCTATTGTTAGCTTTCTCGATTTTAGATTTCAAGTCTCAAGAACATACCTCCACCAGCTGCATCACGGAGTGAAATACTAAGCACAGTTCCGATAGCAAACACGCTCTCCACTGAGTCCGCGGAAGACAAGTCCTGGAGGAGACCCTGTGACCAGACACTCCACACATCCGGAGTTGAAGCTGCAGGAGCAGTAGGCGAGCTGCTACGCCAGTCAGCACGGTATGCATCCCAGGATCCATCGGTATCAAGCTGAGCCATCGTCTTCAGGGAGTCAACAGCGACCGTGCATCCAACGGCATGGGCTGTGTAACTGTGACCATGGAGGAGAGCATCGCTCTTCTCTGTACTGGAAAAGGCGTCGAAAATCTCCTCGCTAGCGACAGTCGTGCAGAGCGGTACCAGCCCGCCCGTGAGTAGTTTGGCATTGACGGCGACGTCGGGGGTGCACATCCAGGAAAGATGCGGATGTCCGGCGACCGAGACGGTATAGTCCAGTGAAGACTTCGTCAAAGATAATTGGCAGGCCAGACCACGACGGAGATTGTTTGGGGGCAGGAGCGTTGGCAGAGAACAGCTCTGGGTGGTCACGGACCACATCTGTCAAACATCTCTGGAAGAGAGGATCACTAGCAGGGGAAGGTCAGTCCATATGTGAAGATTAACGATCTTGTTACCAGATTCTTACCAGAAGAGCATTCCACCCGCACCAAGGATGACAGGTTCCAGAATCAATGCTCCAAACTTCGCTCCTTGTCGCTGGACCAGATCTTCAATAGTGCGACGGATGTAGTCCTTGTAACGCTGGGCAGCGGCAGACTCAAGACGCTGACTGAGATCAAAGACCGACCCCAATGAAGCGAAATCAACATCCTCGCCGAGTTCTGCCTGCAGCTCACTGGGGATCTCAACTTTCCAAGATCCGCCAACCATCTTAACAAGAGGGAAATCAAACCAGTGGCCGCGACCACGATACCACTCAACCTTCTTATTGAATGTCGAAGGCTCGGAACAGTCCATAACACCGATGGTATCACCGTGGTAGCTACCCTTGAGTCCAAGAATACCAATCTGCTCCTGGCTGGCATCCCAGCCGTACCGGTCGCAAGAAGCGCGTAGACCCATCTTGACAGCCACTTCCATCCCCGTGCTTCCATTGTCTGTGTAGAAGACCTTAGTAAGCCTTGGGTTTTCGATAGTCTTCAGTAAATTATCCGCAAGCGCCAGTGCCGGCTCATGGACAGCTCCCGCGAACATGACATGTCCGTACCGACCGGCGGCATAGGCAGCAGATAGTGACAGCTCGGGATTACCGTGGCCCAAGCCTTGCGTCCACCAGGATGCAGACCCGTCGAATGTCGGGCGCAGTTCGCTTTGCGTATCTTTGGATGTGGTGGAGCCGAATGTTTGGAAGTAGTCATCATGCGCTGAGTCGATAACGGTAATGTCCTTAGCTTTCATGCCCTGGTGCTGGGTGAAGGGGTACCATATCAGCTCTTGCGCACGGTCGGCCATCTCTTCTAGGCGCTGAACGCGCTCAGTGTTGTTGACGGACATTTCTTCAAGCAGTCGGAGGATCTCGGACTCCTTGGCGGATTTTTGGTAATAGCTGAGCATGGCCTCCTCGTCCCTTAACTGGGATTCGGCGTCCAGCTGCGATGGTCGGGCTGGAGGCGCTGGTAGTGAGACCAAGGGAATACTCTTTTTCTGGAAGTAATCACGGAGGTATTCGTGATTTTGGTAGTACTCATCTCGGAACAAGAGGACTGATGAAACGTCATAGCCACGGAGGAGCAACGACTCGTAGGCAGAGATCGAGGAAGATATGCCCCCTAGACGAGAGTCTGCTACCAGCACGATTGGCAGGCGGAGTGGTCTATACAAGTCTGCCTGTGAGTTGCCATTGGGGCCCGGCGAGTGCACGCCCCCGGCAGTCTCGACAAGGGCGAAGTCAATGTTCGATCGCGCCCACCCAGACAGCGTGCTATGTATAGATGCGAGGAGATCATCATCCCGTGGAACCTGCGCGATGAGTTTGTGTATTATAACTAGGACAATGGGCACCTACAAATTTATCCTTGGCTGCCAAATGCGGGCTCACTGGGTCATCGAATTGGTAGAGACATTTGGTCAGCGTCCCAGCACCGTAACGTTGCAAGTGTCTACGATAGTCAGTGATTGAAGTTGAATTTAATAAATTGCTTCAACGTTCGCGTACCGATCATCGGCATCATCCAATGCCCCTGTAGACACGGGCTTGAGGAATGCGGCCTGCTGTTTCTGGCGTTGAACGGCATTGCACAACACCGTGGAGATAATTGTCTTTCCCACGTCCGTGTTAGCCCCGTAGACTTGGTGGGCTCGTAGACTACGCCAGAGCGCTGCGCCGACCGGAGGCATGATGTGATGAAGTTGAAGTGAGTCACGGTGAAGTCCAAAAGAGACCTCGGCAGAGTCAACATGGATTGAGTTTCCGACTCCACGCCAAATCTCCACATTTTCTGCATCTCACCGGACTGTCCTGTTAGGTTCCTCAACAACTTGGACCTCTTGGCTTTTGAGGGGGAGAATCGGGAAGATCTGTTCTGTTGTCAATCTCAACAATCAACAATACTGGAAACTAAAAATAAAGTGGATAACCCGTGGATACCCCATCGCTCAGGAACAGGAACATCAGGAAAATTGACGTTAATGAGATTATGAAAGCCGATACAATGACTGCTACTCAAGGGACATTGGAGGCAAGGACATCGACGCACAAAACCCTTGTTGACTCGCTCTCCGCCGCATTATCGCGCCGGGAAGCCAAATCTGCCCGTCGGAGGCTCACCGTTTTACCCCGGACAGCTGTGGATTTCTCCTCCAACGACTTCCTGTCACTGTCAACGTCTTCTGCATACCGAGAACGTTTTCTAGCCCTTTTGAACAACACACCGCCATCATTTCCCCTTGCTAGCGGAGGTTCTCGGCTATTAGACGGGAATTCAGCTTGCGCGGAAGAGCTCGAGAACTTCGTCGCGGCATTCCACCAAGCCCCGACAGCACTTCTATTCAACTCTGGATACGACGCTAATGTCGGTGTACTATCCAGCATTCCGCAGCCAGGCGATGTGATTTTGTACGATGAGCTCATCCACGCAAGTGCCCATGAGGGCATGCGTCTGTCGCGCGCCGGTCCTCGGAAGATGTTTGCCCACAGTTCGCCCATTGGCTTGAAAGAGGTTCTGCAATCGCAAATAGCTGAAGACCCAGCAGTTGCGGAAGGCACGCGCAATGTGTTCATCCTTATTGAGTCCATCTACAGTATGGATGGCGATGTTGCTCCCATCAAAGAATTCATCGCGGTTGTTGATGAGCTGCTACCTCACGGTAATGGTTATTTCTATGTCGATGAAGCCCATGCGACTGGCGTATTCGGACCGCGGGGTGCTGGGGTGGTTCAGGAACTTGGTGTTCAGGATCGCATGTTCATCCGAGTCCACACATTCGGTAAGGCACTAGCGAGTCATGGAGGTATTTTCTTCTTGTCTAGTTTGACCATCCCTTGATACCTCACTGACATTTATCTAGCCATGGTTCTCTGTGGGCCAGAGACAAGGGATTATCTGATCAACTATGCCCGGAGTTTGATCTATACCACCGCCCTGGGATTTCCATTCCTGGCGTCGATTCGCGCAGCATATGAGCTCCTGTCATCTGGTGAAACTGAAACAGTAAGTTGATTCTGTCTTTATACCCTTGGTGACCGATAGCTAACTGGATCAAAGTTACAACGCCGACTCCAGGAGTTGATCCGCCATCTCCGACTACGGCTTGATGGCCTCCATACATATAAATCAGTCATGTTCGAAGTCGACCATTTTCCCACGTCTCCCATTATCTCCCTTCGAACATCGCAACCACGACAGCTGGCGAGTCTCTGCCAGGAAAACGGATTCATTGTTCGAGCGATCATGCCGCCGACGATTCCCGAGGGAAAGGAACGGGTGCGGGTGTGTTTGCATGCGGGAAACACCGAGGCAGAAATCGATGGTTTGACGCGGATGATTCAGTCGTGGCTCGATCAAAGCCACAAAAATGCGTGGAAATTATAAAAGTAAGAGGTTTTTTTTGAGCTTTGCATCTTCAAGGTAGTTTACGAGTAAACCTTGATTCAAAGCACTGGACTCTGGATTGATTTCCATTGGACCTATTATACCTATTATATTTAGAATCGTATGTTTTCTTTTACAGTCGTCGATCTCCAGTTCCATTCTAGCATGATACCAAGCTATCCGCTTAGTTGAAGGCTTTTGTTAACTACAAGTTTTTCTTTGTTTAAAAATACCCGCGGTCTAGTGCCCTTTTTTGCCATCTGGGACTTCCATAGATATGGATACGATAACGACAGTTCCTTTCAGCCTCTGCATCAGTGCCACAGTGAGTGGTATTTCTGTGCGTAGAATGGTGTTGGTCGGTTCACCTGTGAGGTGATTAGGTGGAAGTCTTCTTTATTGCCGATCCATTCCCTCTCTTCGCAGGGGACAAGTTGCCCATTCCAGAGGTTACCATCCCTCTGCTCTCCTCTTCGTCATATATGTCCTTGACAGTTGACGTTATAGTGGGAGAGAAAAGAGGGACCCATAAAGTCTGAAGGAAAAGATTGGCTATTTATACTAAAAAGACAACGCACATATGCAACCAGACAGCGCAACAAAGAGGGGCCGTGCATCATCCTAACACCATGTCATAGCGGAATCAGGCCAGAACCACCCGGGATTTCAGGAATACTAAATACTATATTGTATCTTCTCTTGGTACTCTCTTCGACTGGATATCGAGTGCTTGTCTCTCCTTCGTGTCACTTGGGTCTTCATCATATGAACCCTGTCACATTCCCACTTCAACTCTCTCTCTTCTTTCGGTTTCCTTCAATCCTTTTCTAAACCTTCGGTATCCGGCTTTCAAGATCCTGCTTCCCTGTTACTAAATTTCTGTTCTTCGCTTGGCCGTCTGTTTGTCTTAAGCCTGGGCATTGCATCATATTTCCAGCTCCCGAGGTCCGTTCTATCACACGAACAGGTGCTTTTACCAATTATATACCTGAATGAGTTGGAAATGTTTGGACATTAAGCACCCTTCCAGCCGGATCCTCTGCTTCGACTTCGGAATAAACCCGTGTGAACTGCAACAAAGCAAGACCATATATTCTTTAGCAGTCGATTCTGAATGCAGAAACTATGGTCTTGGTGTGACCTGGTTGCCCAGAAATACCTTGCGTTGTGAACTACGGTTGGGTGTCCAGGAAATTCACACTCACAGGTTTCAGTGGCCTGCAACATACGCTCACCCGAACCTTTGCTGACCCAACATTTATAACAAGTACCTCTGCTATTTATCCTTCAACTCACCTTTCGCTATCCAATATGATCATATATATCCCTACCGGCCAGGCGAAACATGCTCTTAGCCCACAGTCTACATATATGAACCTTTATATGAATCATACCTTGTCCCTTTGGTTTATCTTTCCATCCCCATGAGGGCTCTATATATACAGTACATCCTTGGTGACACTTTCTATCTTATTTATGATTCATTGGCTAATTGGAATAAGACTTTGCGCTAGATGAACTCCGGCACCAGCACTTGCCTCTCTAAATACTTTCATTCGATTTTCGCTTTCACTTTTCTCTTTCCTTCTCCTTCTCTTTCCTCTCTTTCCTCTCTTTCCTCTCTTTCCTTCACTCTTTTCTATAATCATACGAAGTACAACCCATGACTTGCCTGTGATAGGTATAACTTTCAGTTCTTCAGCATTATCTTCATTCCAGTCCCAACTATCTATCTCATTCCATGATCTGACTAGGCATCCTATCAAACTGACCAGTAGGCAAGGCCAACACCCCCGTGGACAAGTGTCGCGTTGGTACAGTCGCTTGAACAACTTTTGACTCTAATCATATAAACAACATGGCTTTCGAGAACCTACCTACCGAGGTCATCCTCATCATCACAGAGAACCTCGACTCCCAGGCCAGCATCCTACCTTAAGATGCACAAACAGTCGCCTCTACTCGATGCTTGAACAATTTACAAGCGAAACATTCCAGACCACAAAAGCTCCGCCTTATCATAGGCATATAAGCATGGAAAAAGGTCTCTGGTCGCCTAGGCGCAGATCTACGGACTACGCCCAGTTCATATAGCCAGTGTCCCTTCTTAAACTTGGCTATCTCTGGCGGTAATACAGATATTGTGCAACTCCTCCTTGTGCATGACTCCGGAATCATCAACCTCATCGACCAGTCCGCCTACACCTCTCTTCTAACAGCCGTATCGGCCAGAAACATGGAACTTGTCAAACTTCTCTTGAAAAATCTGTCCATTTTCAGGGGCATTGTCCGCGGAGCTTCGAGGTTACCTCTCTATCGCCACGGCAGGCTTGCTTGCTGGGGACCCATCGCCCTCAGGGAGCTCCGCGTACAACACACCGGACGAATAAAGCGTCCCCTTCACGGTCCTTGACTGTTTTTGTCCTTACATCTTTACCCTATTCTTTCAGTCGCTTTGCTTATATCAACGTTTTCATGCATTGGCTTTCGACAAGTCCCGCACACACACACCTCTTATGGCCCCGGGACGGCGCCAGAATTTTCTTCCGTGGAAGGGATGTTACCGGTAACACCATGTATGGGTCTGTCTCCACAACGATGGTTTCCCTCATTCCGTCAAGTTACCAATTGAAGATGATCGGTGGGCTGCGCCCACGGGAGCTGAACCTACTTTGTGTGGTCAAGCTCCTCCTCATAGTTGCAATTAGGACAGGGCAACTAGGGGAGATGACCATGCAGGCCCTACTGGACACAGCTGGGGGTCTGCGCCTCTTTCTCCACAACGATGGTTTTCTCTCATCAGAGGAAGTATACCACCCATTTGTGAATGGAGGAGATCTTATCGGCGAGGCCGACCTGAGCTTGACATCGCTCTCTCGTCAAGCGAACACCCGCTGCCTCAACTAGCTTCACTAATTCCTGCTACTTTCAAGCCGAACTACCTACTCGCCTCCTAGAAACCTGCCAAATCTTCAGAGCGCATCTCCGCACACTCAGCGAGAACGTCCGCGCCTACGTCATCCACAGTCAAAGCTATCACAGACACAGCCAGGCCTGGCATCCAGCAAACAGAACCTCTCCCAGAATATCTCACCGAGCCCCAGCAAATTCATACTCATAGGCCAAGACCATCTAGAAGGAGCTCAGGCCAAACCCACAGATACCCACAGATCAGAAGACACTCGATCACGTCCACAAGCTCCGACAACATGTCTGGCAGCGTAGCTCCCGGAGGTTTTTTACCCTCTTCTACCTTTCCAGTAAACTCGCTCTATCAGCGTAACAGAAGTCGTCGTCTTGCTCCACTGAATTGCGCTCTCGCCATAGGAAATGAACAAATATCTCGGACCTTGGCCGCAGATCATCGGGTCTTCGATCGGGACAGCATTTCTCACGCTGCCGCTGGAGGAAATTTTACGTTGGTGAAACTGTGTCTGAAAAATATGGCTGGGGCTCGGGGCAATATAAGCCTGAAACCCAAACGTAAATGAGATTCCCCTAACATTGGCATTTCGACTAGACAAAACAATAAATGTGACTAAGTTGCTAAAGCCAGGCCCTGTGGAAGTTCAACTTTGGAAGAATTATGGCCGAGCCCATTCTCTTAGGCCATTCAAGCTGGTGGTCCCATGATGAAAGCTTTGAATTTATGCGAAACGAGTTTTTCGTTGAATAGAATTGATAAAACTAATTGGTATAGACGTGGCCTGCGAAAATTTAAGTAGACAATAATCTCTGGCCGCCCTTAGGCGGCCTGATCTTCTTGCTGGAAGTTGCAGGATAACGAACGTTACAGCCGGTGTATAGTTACAAAAAAGAAAGAAAGAAAGAAAACGAAAACGACTATAAATTTGCTAACTCCCTGCCTATTTGTAGTGGTCAATGTCAGTGAGATAATATAGGACATAGGGCTGGAATAGCACAATACATGTTCTACGAAGGTGAGTCCCCGTACTTTTCAATATACACTATAACCCAAATACGTTGGAATCCCAGTTCGCTAGGGATAGTTCGTTGGATAAAAAGGTATATATGTAGTTTTATACACATACGTATGTATATGATAACAATATATGGACATCAGCGGTAAAAAAAGTTCAAATTTTTGATAGGGTGCAGCAGGCAGAACTACCCGTAAGCGGTGACAGTTATCAGCGAATGAGAGGGTGTGGATCTAATAATCGGCAGAATTAGACCAATAGGAAAATGGCAACACACACGACGATGTATAGGATAGATAGAAGGAAGGATAGATTTTCTCTCATCGACGATACTATGGAAATGATTTGGGTAATCGTCGCAACCCTGGAGCACCAACACACCAACCCCATGTGTTCGTGTGTGGCAGGTGTATTGGTGTCCAGGGTTGCCCACGATTATACCATGTTCGACGTCCCGTTAGCCAGAACAACCGGGAAGGGCATAAGATCCTCTGATGCATCAGAATCTTACTTGTTCATTCAAGCATCTACACCATAGATTGCTCCACCTTCATTTCACTAGCCTGAGTATCCGAGCGGTCCATAGTAGTATAGCGACTGAAATCTCTCATGTCCCGACGCTCACCAGGATGATCACCCCGAGCCGCAGCCTTGCGGTCCTGGCGACGGAAGTAAACACGCTTGCACCACTTCCAGCTCTCAATGCCAGCGAAGAAAAGCACCGTCTCAACAAAGACAATAGCCCACTCCCAGGAGATACTGCTATGCTTGAAGACACTGTGGTTGATAACAGGGATGTAGATAATCGGGAATGCGAGAACGAAACCAGTCATGATACCAAAGAAGAGGAACTTGTTGCGCCAGATATCATGCATCCACTGGGTATAACGTCTCTTTGAGTTGGGCTGCATCTGGAAGAAGCTGCGGCGCAGGTGCATCATCTCCCAGGCGAGGAAGAGGGCGAACCAGGTCATGCAGGTGAAGGTAGTGGCACGAGCACGGAAGACTGTGTCGCAATTGTAGGGCGTATTAGGGTCATTATAATGGGTATTGCACCCCTGCGCAAGGTCCCCGTTCCCAAAACGGAACATGACGAGAGCGAATGCTGACAGACAGAGGGCGGCCATCCAGACTCCGTAGACAAGAGTGTCGATAATGATTTCCCAGGTGAAGATACCTTGTTTCTATGATCTGTTAGTAAATCAAATTGTTAGGGAAGGTGTTGAGGGTGACTTACGCTTTGCGGTGGCCGGTCCATCACTTCTGGAGCAGCGATCTCCATTCCCAGGCCCATATCAGGGAGACCAGAGGTAATCATGATAATCCAGATGATCTCAACAGGGGAAATGGGGAAGACAGACTGCTCACTTTTATCCTTAAAGGCCAATCCAATAAGCAGGGTCAAAGCCAAAGCGACATTTTCCGCAAGAAGATGTAGAACGAATTTCTGGATGTTATCGAAAATGCGACGACCTTCCTCAATACCGTTGATTATGGAAGCAAAGTTATCATCGGACAGCACCAGTTCGGAAGCATCTTTAGCCACATCAGAGCCATTCTGACCCATGGCAATACCGACATCAGCCCGCTTAAGCGAGGGAGAGTCGTTAACTCCGTCGCCGGTCATAGCCACAAAGCGCCCACGACGATGTAGGGCATCAATCATACGCACTTTCGTATTAGGTGCGCAGCGAGCAATAACCAATGGAAGAGTGGGAGTGCATCAATCTCGTCTTCGGTCAATTTGTCAAACTGGGAAGCCGTCATGACCATAGCATCAGCAACATCCTTAGCGACCATATCCATATTGGCAGGAATGATTCCAACTTGTGCTGCGATAGCACGCGCAGTACCGGGGTGGTCACCGGTAACCATGTGCACAGAGATTCCAGCTTTGTAGCAAAGGTCAATGGCCCCAGCCGTCTCCGGACGAGGAGGATCGTAGAGACCGATCAAGCCGTAGAATGACAAGTCCTTCTCGACTTCCTCGCGGGAAGAGGCTCGGCGCCTTCTTTGACGGGAGCGGTGTTCTCACGGCCGGCCATAGCGAGCACACGAAGACCCTCTTTAGCCAAAGCCTCCATGTTCTGTAAGATTTCATTGCGCATTTCGTCCTCAATAGGAACTGGGTCAGAATCAGGCTTCCATTTGATAGTGGTGCACGCCTCGAGAACTCGCTCGACGGCGCCCTTGGTGAAGATCATTTCGCGAGTCTTCTCTGAGTTGTCGTCGCGCTTTGAGAAAATAACGGACATTTTCTTCACGCTCGAGTCGAATGGATACTCCGCCTGTTGGTGCCAGGTCGGCTTGTCACCCTTGGTCCAACGATCTAGACCCCAGTTGAACCGAGAGGCGAAAACTTGAATGGCAATGTCTGTAGGTTCACCACGAGCCTGCCATCCCTCAGTGGCAGTTCGGTGGAGATGGGCCAGGTTAGCCATGGCAGCGACGTTGAGAAAGTCCTTGAGTGTATCATTGTCGTCCAATAGGTCGTCTGGCGAGGCTACATCGCCCAAATTATCCGCGCCCACTTTGATCGGGGGCTCGGCCATCAAGCTTAGCTCACCCTCTTCGGGGTTGAGAGGTTCATTCGAAGCACCAACTGAGTAAGTCCCTAGGGATGGAATCCAAGCCCTCTTTGCGACCATACGGCCTTGGGTCAGAGTACCAGTCTTATCTGAGCAGATATTGGTGACAGCACCGAGTGCCTCTAGGGAATCCAGCTTCCGGACAATGACATGGCGCTGGACCATCTGTTTCGTTCCAACGGCCATAGTGATTGTTAACACAACCACCAAACAGGCCGGAATCATAGCCAAACCAGTGGCGACCGCATAAATGATAACCTCGCTATCACCGCGCCAGTTGTTCGACGCAGCAACGACAATCGCAAAAACAACAGCAATAGCAAAGAGCAGAAGCGCTAGTTTTGACAGTTTCCGTTGTAAAGGAGTACCAACATTGGTACCCAAGAACCGGCCAATAGCATCGGTGGTCGTCAATGTCCAAGCCTGGATATACCATCTCTTCTTTGTTTCGCCTTCAGGTCCGCGCTTAACAGGGCGACGCTTCGAGTCGGTACCACGGAGAGCTTGAGCGATAGCTCCAATCTCGGTTCTCATTCCGGTTCCCACAACGACACCACGAGCGCGTCCTCGGGTCACGGTTGACGAGCTGTAGGCGATGTTCAGTCTGTCGCCTGGGCCGGTATCGACATCGAAGGTGACCTCTGCTTCTTTCTGGACCGGGAGGGATTCGCCGGTTAGCAGTGCTTCGTCGGTTTCGAAGTTAAATGCTTCAACAAGTCTGTGAAGGAGTTAAATGAAGGTTCGATATATTCCGTGCGGGGATTCGGTACACACCTGACATCAGCAGGAACAGTGTCTCCTACTTTCAATTCGACCATGTCACCGGGGACGATTTCATTTGCTGGGACGGTTGATGTCTTGCCGTCGCGAGAGACTACACCTGTAGGCGAGCTAAGCGATCGCAGCGAATCCATGGTCTTCTCTGCGGCGTAGTCTTGGTAGACACCGACAACAATGTTCAGGGCAATGACGGCAGCGATGAAACCTCCTTCAATCCAGGACTGGATGCCGAAACTGACGGCCATGGCGATGATGAGGACCTACAACTTCTTAGGGATCATTCTTTAATGGCTCTTTTCGGCTTCTTCAACTTACCAGCATCATGGCATTGGCGATCTGTCGAATGACAATCTTCGCCAAGGAGACGCCCTCGTCTCCTTCAAGTACATTCTCGCCATATTTCTCAATGCGTTGCTTGACCTCTGCAGATGTGAGACCATCCTCGGAATTGGTTTGCAGTTCGCTGATGACGTCTTCGAAGGAGAGACTATGGGCGGGCTGGGAGAGAGGTTGTTGGGTAATGTCAGCAGGACTCTGAGAGCCGGAGCCATTTTGGGCTTCCTGCGACATTTCGCGATTTCGCGAATGGGAAGTGTATTTCTCTAGTTGAGGGGGTGGAGTGAATTGAGTGAAAGAATGTTCTTCTATGAGGCTCTTAAGGGGGCAACTTATAGAAGGTTTCTGTAAGAAGATGAGAATGCATACACCGGAATTACTTCGAGCAATAGACACAATTCTATGAAACAACCTTCTTTTCTTTGCTTCGGTGGGGATGTCTCGACGTATAAAACAGGATCAGAATGCCAGTCGATGGCGAAAGATAACCGGCTGTTAGGGCCGGAAGTAATCTGGTGGAAATCGTGTCCGGCATCCGGGGAACCACCATCATGATGTTCTGATGGCCAATCAGCTTCTTCTACCAAATCTCGGGTGTCAAGCGGACTTCCCTTGGCGCATCATACTGACTTTCCCCATTCAGACGATGACGCAAACGACTCTGGGCGACGCCTCGGGCGGTCCACGCGGGAATTCTCCGACGCCTATTGGCGCGGAAAGTTCTTGGCATTTCCTGGTCATCGCTTTCTGTTGCCCATGTTCACTTCCTAGCTCTTGGCGTCTTGGCTCTTGGCTCTTGGAACTTCTTGGCATTTGGGGGCTCGAGAGTTCCTCCGCTTCAAATCCGCCTCCCTCCTCCGGGGGGCATTTTCCTTCACCTATGTGGCAAAAACTGATTTGAACTTGTTTTGTTGCCTCAGATAATGGGCCATCTATTGTTATTGGGGACACAGTGCCTGAATACATAATTGAGCCGGGTGGTCCGATCCAGGTTGCACTGTCCCACGTTGCGTTATTCCTCTATTCTCGTTGGTTCTACTATTGGGCGATACTCCAATTCTTTATTTTTATTTTCTTCTCGTATCTTCGCTTGGCCCCGGAATCCATATGACCCTCCACTCATGGCGGACGATTCTATGCCGCGAGAGGAGATAATTGGGGTTGTTATTGGGGCGGTTGCCCTGTTCTCCCTGATCAGCATGATTCCAGTGTGAGTCTTGGCAAAGTCTTGGCAATCCCCACGCTTGATTCCATACGGATTGTTCTCGAACTTCTGACGCGCCGATCACTAATATGTATGCTTTCTACATGCAGATTGATCATGTGGCATCACCGGCGACGCACGGCCATGCGGGCAATGGCCGAAACCCGCGTTCTCCCACCAGTCTATCAGGTACAGTTGCAGAACGTGTTGGGCCAACCTGTGTCCGTTGACCGATGGTTGGAAGAACAAAGCGTGCCTTCCAATGTCCAGCAATATGGCCAAGATACTTGGTAAGCGAGATATGAATTTCAGCATTCCACCGGTCTCGGATTCCGGCACCCCCTCTCCTCGAATTTCTTGGCCCTGCGTCCCGATGATGTAGTGTGGGGACACTAGGGCTGGGCTCTCGGTCCCTCCGCCCTATAGGGATCGGCGAGTTCTCGTGGAGGCGGATCCATCTTTCTGGGCAAGGCATTCTTGCTCGCAAAGTCCCCCAATGTCAATTCGCCTTGTTCCTGGATCAGCACATTGTCGTCTTGGCTAGAGATAGCAGGCCGCGCAATTGACCCTGGACAAATCGCCTGAATCTTCTAGAACTAAGCTAACCCGCCCAGCCCCATTTGCCTCTCGGCACTGTCGTCATCCCCATACCTCGCCTGTCCCGACCCAGCCGTTCTGGCCCACGGCCAGCACAACCACAACCCGAATACGGCGACACGTCCAGCCCCCCCACTGCAGCTGCGGGGCCCAACATTCCCCACCTGATAGCGAGGTCCTCATACTGAACCGCTGCAAGCACGCCTTCCACCTCGATTGTCTCAAATCCTGGTTTGAATACCGTCGGTACAAGTGCCCGATCTGCCAAGCTTCGTATTCGCCAGAGGAAGAGAGACGAGGATAGTTCCCGGAAATTATTGACTTGCTGCACGCATGACCCGGTTGGGGCGCTTACGTCGAGTACAATTCGCATTGATATTGTTAACGGTTATACCCTCCAAGACTTGGGATCACTCTGGCTTCTTGCTTTTTTCCCACTACCTGCTTTTCCTCATTTTTCTTTTGAATTGTCCTTTAATCTTTCTTTTTTCGCTTTGAGATATATCCATCAACGTGACACGAAACATGCTCATTCAGCACTTTACTCTACGTTTATACGTCTATTATCCATGTTCCAAATAGGCTAAGGGAAAGACCTTAATTTTATGTATACATACCCCGACATAATAGAGCGAACTATAGCCACTACAATCGCGATGAGAAGGGTCTATGTATACTGACCGAATGGGCACCTTCAAAGGATGACGTGCTCAGCAATCTCCCCCATAATCTTAATCCATGCTATCTCCTTACAGGGAACTTGTGCACTAAATTATCGTAGTCGTACAGTCACTTCTTCCCTCTTGTGCAATAATCAACTTTGAGCAGTCGGGCACCGGAATAGGAAATTTATCTCGGAGCTCCGCATTTCCCATCTGCTATGGAAACACATTTTAAGCTGCCCTTTTCTCTCCTCCAAAGATACACAAATCCTTTGCGTCGTAGCATCCAGACTATCACCATATCACATATACCTCTATCAGAAATCAAGCATCGAATCCCTTCATTCGTCACTATGGACTTGACTCCTAAAGAAACCAACCTCATCGAAATCGCAAGAACAACTATCAATGCAATCCCCAAATCAGATACATACAGCGTGGCCAGCGCAGCCCTCTCTGTCGACGGACGGATTTTCACTGGTGTGAACGTGTATCATTTCACTGGCGGACCATGTGCCGAGCTCGTGGTACTCGGTGTAGCCGCGGGTGCCGGGACTCCTCGTCTCTCACATATTGTTGCTATTGGAGAAGACGGCCAAGATGGAGTTGTTCTTAATCCCTGTGGTCGGTGTCGACAGGTGTTGCATGATCTGCATCCTGGTATTCGGGCTGTTGTGCGGAAGGATGGAGGGGTGAAATCTGTTTCTATTAATGAGTTGTTACCTTGGGGTTACGGGCTTAGAGAGTAAGATGCATACAACCAATGTACATAATACATAAACACGGAATATATATGCACAAGTAACACGCCGTTGAAACACTGGCAGTCAAGTCAATTGAAAGATACAAATTAGTCTGTAATCTGACTCCATAGTTCACTATCAACTCGAGTATACTCAATCAATATAAATAATCTCTCCACAACACCGTCTCCTTAGAATACATTGCACCAAGCTAAATCCTAACCTGACTTCATGGTCCACTGATGACTCGAATCAAATCCAAGTAGCGTAATCACTTCCCAAAACAGTCTCCTTTGTGACCGCTGCCGAGATATGAGTCTCGAACTGGCGCTCAGAAGTATCCGACCCGGCCCCAGAATTATTATACTCATAGTAGAGTGGTGTAGCTCCGTCCGCCATTGTCGTCCATCCCTTGGGATTAACCACACTACGCAGGCTGGAGTTCTGGAAGATGACGCGAGCAAGGACTCGCCATGGACGGCCAAGGAATACAGTGCCAACCTTGATAGCACTTGACGCAGCCTTGACAGTGCAGTCGTCAAATGCATACCAGGTCGTGTCGGTGGTTGTCTGGCGTGAACTGGCGGTTATGGCGCCAGGGCCGTTGGAGACAATGTCGCAGTTATTGAACCAGGCGGAGGCAGCGCCAAAGATATAGTCCACGGCTCCTAGAAATTGTCAATATATAATAACGAGATGGGTGTATGTGATAGAAAATGACTTACCCTCAACCTTGCAGTTGGCATAGTACTGTCTTCCCGCCTTGGCGTACAGGGTATCCTGGTATCCGGAGAACTGGCATGCATAGAAGCTGGAGTTTATCGGCATTGGCGACGAGTCTAGCATAATCAGTCAATAATTCAATACCAAAGCAAGAAATAAATACTCACGCAACAGCCTGTGCACCTTTCCCGAACCCGTTCACCACATTGATGTTGTGCATCTTGAACCCATCGGCGACAACATTCACAGTAGCACTCTTATCCAGCGAGCCAGCCTGGGGGGAAGAGATGGTATGGGTAATGGTAACGGTGTTTTTCTTGTACGTCTCCGTATCAGCAGTCTCACCATACAAGGTCAGAGCACCGGCATAGTTGATAGTAATCTGTTCCTCGTAGGTGCCACTAGCGACATAGATACAAGCCGCCGCTGAGGAAGAGCCGAGGGCAGTCAGGGCATCGCCGATAGTGGAGTACTTCCCGTTAGAACCGACTGTCAGGCAACCTGAGGGGGCACTAGTCCTGGCTGCGCGAGTGACTAGTTCGGTGGGTGCGGCCAGGACAGCCGTTCCCAAGGATAGGACTGTGAGGAGGAAGTTGTATGGATACATTTGGTAGAAATTGTTATTTTACCGAAGAAGGGAATGATTGTCGGTTTATATACGGTAAACGCGGAGAGCTCCGGACGCTTTTATGGATCTTACATGCAATGAAAACTAGTACTTCCGTATGTCTAGCATTTTGAGACCCATGTGAGTCCACTGGAGCTTCTGTATAGTAAAAGAGGCAGATTTATCCGAGAGATATTTCCATAAGCGGCATGATTTCTTCAGCCATCGTTAAGGGGTAAGTAGATTTGAACACGTATATCCACAGTAGATTAATTGCTCACTCTTTTTAGTTTGATAGTTTGCACTTGTTTCACTGAGTCCCCGGGCGTTCCGCAGCTCGTGGCTCCGATGGAAGTGGATCTTGTAGGGGTCGTAGATCAAGAGGAAAATCAACGCGGAGAAGTCACCGGAGAACAAACCATTCGGTGATCAAAAGGAGTATCTGGACCCTGAATATGTTTGAGAATGAATAAATGATATTCATTAAAGAAAGTTATTCCTCGAATGGCAGGGCTGTGGCTAAAAAGAGGGGTTTTGGCGTTTCATACATATATAGGTTTCAAATTGTCTCATTTATCCGGTGAAACATTTCCACGTGCAAAGGACATGAGAAGAGAAAAGGAGGAGAGAAGATGAGAAGGAAAAGTTATAAAAGCTGTGGATTCACTAGATATGTAGTTATTCCCACACCATAGCTGTGATACCTTGAAACACTTGCGCCATGTCGATAACAAAAGCCCTCGCAGTCTTTGCCCTTCTCGGCTCATCTCTCGCCCTACCAGACAGAACAAGACATAACCATGCTCGTGCTTCACCTTGCACACCAGCAGCAGGTGGTTCTGCTTCAATCGACGATGTTCCCGCTATCACGTCGGCAATCGCCTCATGCGGCAAGGGAGGCACTATTGTCATCCCCGCCGGCAAAACCTACTACTTGAACAGCCCACTGGATTTCGCAGGATGTGTTGGCTGTGACTTCCAAGTGGAAGGCCTCTTAAAATTCAGCTCGTCGACAGACACCTGGAAGGGGCAAACAGCAATGATCAATATCAAGAACATTGATGGACTTAAAATCCGATCTCTGACAGGCAGCGGAGTCATTGACGGAAATGGGCAAGATGCGTACGCTTTTCTTTCCTTTTGTTCCTTTCAACACTCATTCCAGTTCACTAATATAATGTATAGATGGGACCTTTTCGCAAAAGACAGCAGCTACGAGCGTCCAACCCTCCTCTACATCACCGGCGGCTCTAACATCGAGGTCTCCAACCTCCGCCAAATGAACCCACCCAACGTCTTCAATTCCGTCAAGGGTAATACCAAGACTGCAAAATTCTTAGATCTAAAAATGGACGCCACATCTAAAAGCGTCAATGAGCCGAAGAATACAGACGGCTTCGACATCGGCGCCAGCACAGATGTGACCATCAGCAACGTGAACGTGAAGAACGATGATGACTGCGTGGCATTCAAGCCCGGTGCAGACGGCGTCACAGTCAAGGATATTACCTGCACTGGAAGCCATGGACTATCGGTGGGATCGCTGGGGAAGGGTTCTGATGACTTCGTGAAGAATGTGCATGTGTCAGGCGCGACCATGATTAAGTCGACCAAGGCAGTTGGGATCAAGACGTATCCCTCTGGTAACGGCCACGGCATGTCGACAGTGAGCAATGTCACTTTCACCGATATTGTGGTTGATGGGAGTGACTATGCAATTCAGATCGAGAGTTGTTATGGAGAGGATGAAAATTACTGCGTGGAGAATCCCGGGAATGCGGATTTGACGGGCATTGTTTTTGACAAGATTAGTGGCAAGACAAGCGGGAAGTATAAAGCTGTTACGGGCAGTCTTGCTTGTGGAGCTCGTGGAACTTGTGATGTCAAGGTTGGTGCTTATACTGTTGAGGCGCCATCTGGGGGAAGTGAGGTGCTGTGTGCTAATACCCCGTCGGATTTGGGGGTGAAGTGCACTCCAGGTGCCTCGGGCTGAGAATGAAGGAGACATATAGTTACGCTGCGGATAGGGGAATACTGAATAAACACTGGAAAAGAAAAGCTCTATACAATTTTGCGGTATAATAAAAAATATGTTCGTCATACACGTGCGATTTCCGGTGGAGTACACCAGGCAAACCGTTCACTTAAAAGTTTACGAGGAGGCAATTGTCTTGTCCTTCACGTAGAGGTCGACATACTGGTCAACATCGTAATTCTCCAGCTCTGAGCGGTTCCAGCCAACCTTCAGTAGCTCGTCGACGCGAGCCTGGTCAAAGTGCGCCTCGATGTGACGCTTGTACTTGGCGAGAATATCAGGCTTGGCCTCCTCGCGGCGGAGACGGTGGCCCAGAGGAGCCTCGACGACAACCTCCTCCAGAACAGTACCGTCATTCAGGGTGACGGTCAGCGCGTTGGGGATAGTGCGCTTGCTGGGGTCGTGATAATCGGTAGTGAACTTGGTGTCCTCGACACAGCGGATCTTCTTGCGGAGATCCTCCAGTAGAGGGGAGGTGGCGGCCTCGGAGCCGTCAGCGTAGTCGCTAGCGGTCAGACGGCCAAAGACGAGCATGGTGGCAACCATGTACTGCACACAGTGGTCGCGGTCGGCGAAGTTGTCCATCTCCTTGAACTGCTTGTCGATGATGCGGATGCATGCCTCATGTGTGCGGTTGGTGATCTCTTTGATGTCCTTGGCACTCTTGCCCATGGACGCAAGCTTGGCATTGACCTTTTCAGCGGCCTCAATGGCAGTCTGAGAGTGGAACTCGGCTATTAAAAACGAGTTAGCTGTTGTCAATCCCATATAGTATCATTTTCTGTGAAACTTTCTTGTACTTACCAGGATAAGAAACCTTGAACAGAACGTTCTCCATGACGTAACTTCCGTAGGGACGCTGGAATTGGAACTTCTTGCCCTTGAACAGCACATCGTAGAAGCCCCAGGTAGGAGCAGAGAGAACAGTGCGCAGACCACCTTCACCCTTTTGGACCTTGAGAACCAGATTGACAGCGCGCTGGCAGGCGTCACCGGCAGCCCACGACTTACGGGACATAGTGTTTGGCGAGTGGCGGTAGGTACGGAGAGACTGGCCGTCCACCCAAGCCTGGGTGATAGCATCGGCGGTCTGTTTCTCAGTAAGACCCATCATCTTGGAGACGACAGCGGTAGTCGCAACCTTGACGAGAACAACGTGGTCGAGGCCGACCTTGTTGTAGGAGTTCTCCAGAGCCAGGACACCCTGGATCTCGTGGGCCTTGATCATGGCCTCCAAAACATCATGGATCTTCAGGATCTTGCCGTTGCCAAGGTTTCCACCGGCGCGGTTGGTGCGCGAGATCCAGTCGGCCACAGCCAAGATACCACCGAGGTTGTCCGAGGGGTGACCCCACTCGGCAGCGAGCCAGCAGTCATTGTAGTCGAGCCAGCGGATCATAGCACCGATGTTAAAAGCGCCATTGACCGGGTCCAGCTGGTAAGGAGTACCAGGTACACGGGTACCATTGGGGACGACGGTACCGTCCACAACAGGGCCAAGGAGCTTCGCGCATTCCTTGAATTTCAGAGCCTCCAATCCACAACCAAGGGTGTCCAGGAATACCAGACGAGCAGTGTCAAACTGTAGACCACCAATTTTAGAATTAGCAAGTGTTCGATCGTACCGAGCCGGGCTAACTTACTGCCAAGTCGGAATCCACCTTATAGTCGTGGATGTAACTGGCCATGTCCTGAATTTCAGGGTCATAAGACTTGTCGGTGTGAACCGCTGGGGCGGAAGATTGACGGGCAGCCATTGTAGAGAAACGGGGAGTGCGAGGAACAGAGATACGGGGAGTGATGGGGAGGGAAGAAGCCAAAGTGGGCAATCTGGAGATGCGGGCCAAAGTGCGGGGAGACGTGTGGGTCAGGCGTCTCACTGCGGGCAGGGACATTGTGAAAGGAGAATTGGGAATAGGACTGAAATTGAGGATCCAACAATTGACACAATTGGAAAGTGGGAGAAGAGGAGATGGTAGTTTATTTAAAAACAAATGGACGAAAGGAGAAATGTTGGGAAAGGGAGAATGTCCGGGGGAGAGTTCCAAGCTGACTGCATCCTGCCGAGGGTCGGTTACAGTCGGGTATTACTTCACTCGACTTTTTTTGTACACCTCTCTAACTCCCCAGGGCCCCTATTTATGGAATTAATTACCTTGTCTACAGGTCGTCAGACCAATAATTGTACGTTTACTTTCTCAATGGGCCGAATTGATTGCTACATTACCGTCCGTTGAGCTCCCCCAACGGGGATCCGAATATCGGACATAATCAAGAGAGCAACCCGTGGACAGACAATAGCTGCAATATGTAGCGAAATCGGAATATACGCGGCCCGAATATGCAAGAATGGGCAAGTTCAGAGTAAAAATCCTTGTGCTTGGATAGAGCTCACACCGAGCTCACAACCCCTTCGCCCTCGGCTGATCTGCACGTGAGGTCGCAGATCATCACCCCAGACAGCCCCAATCCCCAACTCCTTGCCCCTTCCTATTCCTCTGCTCTCGTCATCTCCCTCGCCATCACTCTCACTGATTAATCAGTGGAAGATTCCCATGGCCTCCTCTGTATCTGTCTCACGTAGAGACTTGACGATCTCTTCATAAATAGCCTTGGCGAAGAGCGGCGGCACGGCATTCCCAATCTGCTTACGCATGAATCTCCCAGTAAACTGGAAGTCAAGGGGGAATGTCTGCAATAGGGCCATCTCACGATTGGTATACGGCCGGGTGCCCGAGGGGTGGTAGTTGTATTCGCCGCCCCCGCAAGTAATGGTCCTAGCTAGAGAGTGGCGATCAAAAGAGGGTCGGTGGCTCAGAGCCCACCGTGCCAGTGCCCCTTCAACGTTGTGGTCATCGGCATCAGGAGGAATGTTGTCAATGGTGGATGAAATAGTTTCGCGGGGAAGTAAACCGTGACCGGGCATGCCATGGGTGGGTTGGGCATAATGTGGCAGAACTTCACC